CAGCTTCTCCTATTTTACACAGAGGACTTGCAGTTGCCTTGAAGAGTTTGGGGAGCTAAGAGGCAGAAAGAAATGAAATGGCTCAGACATACTGCAAGCAAGTTCAAGAGACGTGCTGAACCTACAGGTCAGAAGAATGACCAAAGACCTCTTGTGCTGTTGCCAGTGACACTGCACAGCTGCTGCCATGGCTGACAGCAAGGCTGGGCACTGAGCTGCTCTGCACACCTGCTGTCTATGTGGGGTGCCAAAAAAATAAACACATGCCTTGCTAGGACTGTTTTTTGCTAGAAATGGCTCCTTTGCTTCCCTTGCAGTCATCCAATGAGATGCCTGCAAGAACACCTTTCCTTACAGAAGCTTCCTTATTAGAGCCAGGCAGGCAGCAGGAACAAGCTCCTTCCCTACCATCAAGAGGTGCTGCAGCGTGCTCTGGCTGCCAGCTTACTCCTCTGGACACCTGATGCCACAGCCCTGTGACTGCTGAGGGAAGTGATCCAGGCTCAGCAGCTTCTCAGCCAAGCCAGTGAACATTTCCGTCTATGTCAGCATAGAACATCTCCCCTCCACCTCTGTTTCCACCACAGAAAAAAACTTTACCATTTCCAAGAAGCACCAGAAGGTTCCACATTAATTATATCCATACTTCCATGTAAGTGCATAAAGGTGTCTCTCCTTCCTGGGCTGGGGCTATTGATCTCAACAACTTTTTCTCCAGAGAGGGCCTCTGCAGGAGGTACAAGTACAAAGAGGGACCTCACTACTGAGATGCCACAAATGCTACAAAACTTTCCTTTGTGTCCCTGTGGAGATCCATAGTTCTTTTCACATAACCACAGAAGACAGCATCACATATATTTCCCCTAGAATAAGCATCCTGATTCATGCTTTGGCCTGCATAAACTGGCATTGTTCTGAGGATTCCACAGACTCTAAACTGGTTTATTTCCCTCTGTCAGTCTGGAATTTGGTGTTAAGATTACACAAACAGAGAGAAAATAAATCTCCATGACTAGTTCTTAAGCCTTTGCATACACATAATCAAATTGCAGAAGCACAACATTTAAGATGCTGATATTGCTAATTATCTCAGTTTCAAAAGGTTTCGTTCATCGTTCATTGGGCTTTGGTGGTTTTTTTTTGGTTTTTTTTTTTTTTTTTTTTTTTTGCTTCTGCTACTCAATGGAAAACCTCTACAGCCAGCACATTTCCTGGTATCACATGGTGACAGCTGACAAACAAACCCAAATGTCAAATAACTGTTATTTCATCTCACGTCAAGTCTGAGACAGAGTCCTGATTAAGATAGCAATTTCAAATAATTAAATTTAAAAATGCTGTAAACAACCCAGGAAGTGCTCTCCAAAGAGCATCCCAAACAATGCTACTCAATCCAGCAACACACAGCTTCCTTTCTGTATTCTTAGTACTAAAGCATCTCCTCAGCTTGCTTTTTCATTTTCTGTTGAGCTTGTTATGCTTTAGGAGAACAGCTAACTTCAACAGATGGGGTTTGATAGCCAGCTTTGCATTTGACATCCATCCCTTCCCCCCAAAACAGAAACAATTCAGCAGTTCCAACCCACCCTCAGACAGGACTGTCTAGGACAGCATTCACATGCCACACAGACAATTGAGATGCTGTTGGTTAACTATGAGTCAGAGGGACCTTAGTACCAGCTCAAAGACAGCTTTTCAGTGATTACAGATTCACATCCCATCATTTATTCGGGCTGCTATGCCCCCAAAGCAGGCACAACAAACCCCATACAGCTCACCAAAATGAGATAATTCCAGACCTTACCAAAAATACATTCCCTACTCAGTATTAGGGATGAAAGAATCCTACAATAGCTGCACTTTAGCATTCCTCCTGACTGAAAAAGGATGGTCTCACCATGTCACATAAGCCAGTTTTTCTCATCCAGGCTGGTGACTTTCAGGTTTATACATCCTCAAAGCTCCACACCTAGAATTTATGAAAAGCTGCAGGTTTGGAGGTACACACAAAGAGGAGAGTACAATGCCAGCATGAGAACTTTCCAATTGCTTGGCACATAAAGGTGCATTTCCTGGCGTGCTGGACTCCAAGAGCCCCAAGAGATGCTACAGGCATTACAGAGGCTATTTTCCAGAATACCCTTGGGGCAAGAAGCCGTTCATGCCACAACACTGCACTATGCACAATCAAGTAACTTGTAAACACAGGAGACTGCCCAATGCATCTTGATAGCCATACAGATTATTCTAGTGGAAAAACTGCACCGCTTTTTCATGCCAGCAAACAGAAGAACCTCAAAGCTGGGGAGAGAGCACTTCAGATACAGGGCAGCATCACCGCTGTAACCTTGAACAACAAATCCAAGATCCCTACAACTTAATGGTAAAGTGCTTAACCAGAGCTAGGCAAGGTCATATCAGACTGTAAATACCTCCTGATCTCTTATATAAATATAAGATGCCCTGCCTAAGTAATATGCACACCCAATGTTGTTTTCTTTGGTATTCTCAAGCATACCTTTGAAGCCCACATTGTGCTCTAAAGGCTGCAGATCACTTAGTCAGGGCTTTCACTTCACTTCACTTCACTGTCAGCCCATAGCAAAGCCTTCCTGTCCTACACAAATTATGACAGTGAGGTCTTAACTAACAGAGAAGGCAGAATGAGTTCACAGCAAGCTGAACAGATGCAAAGGCCAGAGGGAAAAACTGGGAAAAAAACCACTACATGCGGCCTTATTCTCTGAAGTCAAGGAAGATTTCTGCTCTCTCTGATCAGGGTCTCAAAAGATCAGACTCAAACAAAAACTCCCAAGGAAGAGGCTTTTCCATTCCTCCCCTGCAAGTACTTGTCTCTGCACAGTACAGTCTTGAGTTCACAGGCATGAGGACACTAACTTTATCTACACACAGTCAAATAACCAAAGCTTCTGCAAAATTCCCCCATTTGTCACTCATCAAGAGACACTATTTAGCACTCTAGTTTCACAGAGCAGCAGTTGCCATAGGATTCAAAGCCCATGGGCTACCACCTGCTTTCAAGCAGCACAGCAAACACAGATACTCAGGGCCCTATAAGAGCCTGTATGAGAATGAACTGCTCTCCTAGTTCAGGCTTAGCTGTACCTTCTGCCCAGTCCTCCTTTACCCCTATGATTTCATTCTAACCTCTGGACCTCTGCCTGGAAGCTGCACTGTCAGAAGGGTTTATAACACGGACAAGGTACAGCGATACCACGGCACAGCCACGCACCCCATGTGCTTTTACTTTCAGAAGTCAACTCTGCTGCCTTAGAGCTGCTCTCTACCCAAGATACATGTCAGTCACGCAGGTGAGTCAGAAGAAAACAATTGCAGAGAAGTCAAACAGAAAACAGAACTGGAATACTCAAGACCCAAGCCTTGGTTAGCTTTGAAGAGCATGGTTTGCCCTTCTTCAGGAAGTAGGTGAATGCTTCCCAGAAGGTGGCCCCTAATCCAGTCCTCTTACACTCCCACTGTACCTCACAGAGAGTGGGGAAACCTATTCTGATTCACAGAAAGCTATCAGGCTGGATGCTTCTCCCAGGGCAGTGCCTGGCACACCATGGATCCTCTGGTCATATAAATAACCAGGACAAAGTAAACATGATAACAGGATTGCTCAGCACTTAATAAGGCATCTGAGCAAGGCAAAGGATTTGAGCACTACCGTCTGCCTGTCTCACACTTGTGCCATGCTTTCGAGTGGCAGAGGGATCACCCGGTTAGGGAACTAACTGGGGAGTCACCTCTTCAACAGAAGCAACAGCAATTAAACAACTAAATCCCTGGCAGCTACCTGCAAATTGACCCCTATACAAGAAGGAATTAGGGATTATTATCCCTTGCCCACAGTAAAAGTTGGCACCAAGGCATCACTACAGGCTTCAAGATCTCAGACTGGCGTCTGAACAGCTGTTAAGAGCTCCAAAAGTTACGGTTGTACTTCACCGGCCATTTCTGTAAGCAAAATGCTCAGGAAGGGAAACTTCAAACCTAACTACACAGAAAATGCTAACTTTTGCTGCATGAGGCTACATCTCAAAATGGAGTGTCGTGGAAAAACACCTGTCAAGGCGAGAGAACTTCAAGCAATAAACAGCTCTGGCTGCCCTTAGCTCTAGGAGAGGCTCATAATTCTCTGAGATGAAATAAATATAACTGATTGTCTCACACCACAATCCCTTTTCAAGCTTAAGAAACTTTTCTGCATTTGTTATCCTCAACGTAAAAGCTTCCAAGTACAGACTCTAACACGTGCTCGTTAGCTCCCTCCCATATGTAAAATGACAAAAAAGCCAGGAGGCACCACAGACCATTTTTTTCAGCTGTTCCCCAGGCATAGAGACACACAACATACATTGTGTGCTTGCTTCAGAGATAACATTTTGAGGTTATTCTATAACTTGAAAACAGAGATAAAAATCTAGATAACTGGAGATCTAGCTCTTGCAAAGGGCAAGAGTACCCAAGATCCCAAGGAATAACACTCTTCCAGAAATAAACATGCAGACTGAAGGCTGTGCTACTGAGAGATGCTGCCCGGCTCCCACGTGCACACGCAAACCCCACGTCTCCATCTCCAGCCGCTTCACCTCCCGTTCACAGCCACAGAGGCCAGTGCCCACACGGCGAGAGGCCCCTCTCCTCACCCAGACCCCAGCAGAGCTATTCCCAAGCAAGGCAAACCCACAAACGGAGCGCAGCTATGCACGTCTGTGCGGGCGGGTGTCAGAACAGGACCCTGCGCTGCCTTCCCACTACCGGGGCCTCCCTGACCTCAGCCACCCGCCAGGGGCCGGGGCGGGGGAAAGGCCTTAAAAACAAAGCGCCGCTCGCACTTCGGGAGCAGGCGGGCGCAGCGCTATTTACACGCACATACATATATACACCCACATCCCCTGGCTGCTGCTCCAATTAACAAATCAGCAGTAACGAAGGGAAGAGGCGAAGGAGCGCCGGGCTCGGCCCGCGCTTACCGAGGCAGGCGCCGCTGACGAGGGCGGTGGCGGTGAGCGCCCCGGCCGAGGCGCCGTACACCTTCTTGGCGTTGGCGACCAGGAACGGGGCATGTTCCTGCAGGCAGCTGGCCACGCCGACGTGGTACACCCCCAGGAAGCCGCAGCCGGCGAAGGAGATATTCCAGGTGGAGTCCAGCGGGAACATGGCCTCCGCGCCCCGCTGGGGCGGAGGCTGCTGCAGGGAAGCAGCAGCAGCCGCGGAGGAGCAGTGAAGCCGCGGGTCTCTTCCCGCAGCGCCTCGGGACGGGCGGGACGGGCAGAACAGCCGGGAAGCGCTGCGCTGCTGAGAACGCGAACTCAGAACACGGCAGGTTCGCCGCTAGCAGAGCGCCGCCGGCTCCCACTTTTATACGCCACGGCTCCGCCCCCGGCATGGCCGCCGCCCCTCGGCAGCCCCGGCGGGGCGGGACCGCCCGGCCCCCCGCCAACCCTTCCTCCGGTGAACCCCGCTCCGGCCCGGGGCCGCGGAGGGAGGGGACACTGCCGCCCGGCCACGGCAGCCGTGCCAGCTTCTCGGAGCGAGAGGGCTGCCTCTCCCTGTCCCGGGACAGCAGGCTGTCCTTCCCTCACGGAACATCCTGATTCTTAGCGTCTGCTCCAAGTCCTCGGGGTTTCCTCTGTTTTTCAGGGATCGGGCAAGAAGCGTGAGAGAACAGGAAAAGCTTTCCCGTTTCACAAAAAGCTGAGGCACGTCTTGTCACAGCAACAGGGCAAGAACTGGGAAAAAGGTAATCTTCCTGTCCCCCTTCAAAACTAAACAAATCAAGTCCGGCTCCTGGACCTGCACAGGACGTCCCCAAGAATCACACCATGTGCCCAAGAGTATTGTCCAAACACTTCTTAAACTCTTGTTAAGGCTTGTGTTGTGACCACTTCCCTGGGGAACCTGTTCCAGTCCTCATCCACCCTCCGGGGTAAGAACCTTTTTCTGATATCCAACCTAAACCTGCCCTGACAGTTTCAGGCCATTCTCTCCAGTCCTGTCACTGGTCACCAGAGAGAAACGATCAGTGTCTGCCTCTTCTCTTCATGAGAAAGTTGTAAACTGTTGTATACTAATCACCAAAATACACACAGTTGCTTACCTTTTCTCAACACTTTTTTCTCCACATGCCTCTAAGTTCACCAAAATGCTTACATTTAGTCAGGACAACTGTGATTTTCAGCAGTACTTTGCACAAAGTCACCACAGAGCAGTGCTGGGTGAGAGGGCAGTGCTAGTTGATCATCAAAATAGATTTCAGAAGCTGTAAAGATCCCCTTGCCATAAACAATACAGACTACAGTCATCCAAATTATTAGGTAAGTATGAAAGTTTACAGAGACATCAAAAAGATCAGCATAGCAAGAGAATGAGCTGCTCTACTCAAAGCTAGGAAGCAAGATGAGCAGGAGGGAGATTTGAGGGATACAAAACAAAAAGCATACATTTTTAATGGAACCAACATAGGGCAAAAAGCACTTTCCGCCAAAGTTTAAAAAACTACTTCATTAATCTTGGCATAAAGTAATTAGAATTAGTTTTCTTATTACTGGTCAGAAGTTTCTCACTTAGGATAGTGTTAAATGTGTACTTAACAACTCTTTCACCATTTATGCTAGTGGAGGTCATCCAAGCGGTCCCTCTTCCTGTTCCTTCCACTCCAAACATCCTTTCAAATTATACGAGGGAGACTAATACCCTCCCTAAAGAGTGGCCACCAGGTTGCAAGAACAGCTGTTTAATGCCTCAGTCTACTGCCTCACAGTCATGTGACGGAAGCTAAATTCAGCAGGTAACCCTTGCATAAGTCCAATATTTGAGTTCAAGTTATACATCATACTCTACAGACAGAGCACTTTTTCATTAAGTGTTTGCCCTTTGCTTTCATCAGACAGGCAAGAACACAGCTTTATCTTTCTTTCAGATCCTGCCCCCAAGCCCACCATCTTACCTTAATTCTCTCCCCATACCCTTTTCTCCCTTCCTCTCATACCTCTAGTTGCTTTTGTAATTTCCTTCATCTCCCATGCATTTGGTGTGGTTAAGTAACCCTTGTCAGACCTCATCTCCACCTGGAGAGGGGAGCCCTGGCACAACAGAGCCATGACTCTCTTACAGGCCCTTAACACCAAGGCCATCATGGAGCTTCCACCCTATGCTTCAGGTGACACAGAAAGGTATTTTCATGTAGTCAACCCCAAGGGAAACATTGTGTCTCCCCTTTTCCAGAACAGGGATTATTCCACAGAAGAACTGGTCACTGGGCTGTGACTTGAGCAGAAGTCTGTGGCAAAACTGATCACTGAACCTTGTCTGCTGATACCTCCCAAATACTTGTAACCACAAGAACATCTTCATTCTGGAGCCAGCACTGCTCCCTCTTTTTCCAGCATTTCACAAGCCTTAATGTTCCTAGCGTGCCTGGAAAATAGAAACAACAATGCTGCGACAATGCTGGAGTTAGTTTCACTTGATTTCCCAACAGCAATCTCATCCTGAGTTGTTTACATCACTCTGCCTTGGCCCTCAAGGTTACTTATTTGAGGAAGTTAATGCTGCCCTGTTGAAACAGGTCGATTAAATTAACCATGTGAACGCTAATCTCTTGTGGAATACTGCCTTGGCACTGGCACTAGCAAGCTGACAAACAAGTGTGCTTTTCTCAAAAATAAATTAACCCTCAAAACTAATCTCTTTCCCCCCATTAAGAAAGTGCTACAGTTCTGCTATTGCTCACAATGCAGCAGTAAGCCAGATCAGCAAGATTTACTAAGGCAGCTTTTCCTGTGTGTCAAACTCCAACTGAAACTCTTCAAATCCACTTGTGCCCCTACAAGCTGAGATGCCACGGAGACAGTTTCACATGCAATCTCTTCTTGTTATATTTATTTTCTAGTCTAATGAACGGTGAGCTGTTAGTACCTACAAGATAATAACATACAGGCTAACAATCTCTGCTTTTTCAGGCAAGACATTGTGTTTCGGCAGTCATTGGGAATTCAAGGGAAAATGAAAGGCAGCCTGTTACAATATTGATTTCAGAATGCTACTTTAGTATTGTTGTCCATAGTGAGCAAGAAAAGCACACCAGTCATGAAGTTCAACCCTAGTGCTTGCAACATCATTGGAAAACCAGAGTTAAATGTCTTTTTCTTACCTGTGATGTTTGTGTACATCAGGTCATTCTATGGCAGACTCTTGGCACTTGCTTCATAGGAGCATGTCCTGAGGCAGAGGAGCAGTCTTGCTCTTTTGGGACTGAATTTTTCTTCTAGGAAAGGTACTACAGACATCTCTGCACCTACGTAAGTCGAACCTACTGAGTTCAGCAGGCCTGCCTGCATATAGCAGCTTGCAAAACTGGGCCTTGGTAGTAAGAGTGAAACCAGTTGAGAGTGGCCCCAGGGGGCCATTGCTTATTGCTTTACAGTAGTGTCCAGGACATTCTCCCTGCTTTCCAAGTAGTGGAGATACCTCATCCCTCTCCCTGGTCCATGGTGCTTGTAAGGAATGATTTTCAGTGAGAGCTGATTTGAGACAGCACAGCATTTGTGTACCAGTGAGGAAAGCCTGCACATTTCAATGTCAAGCCTATGACTAAATCACTCTCCCCTGCTGTCAATTTGGTAATGATCAATTACTAGTGTAATCTCCAGGCACAAGACTATTTCTCCCATTCTCTTCAATGCCCTTGAGTCCATCTTTCATGAAAAAATCAGGAAAAATCTCTAGCTAAACTTGATTCTGTAAGTGGGACGGACTAGGTCACAAGTCTAAGTCTTAGCAGGCACTAGCGTCCTCTCAGAGAATCATGGAATACAATGCACCCACCCCACCAGTATCCTTGTCTTTGAGAAATCTGAAAGGGCATCACAGAGACTTGAAAATTCAGAACAGTGACACCAGAGCAGAAGCAGGGATCCCATCTCCTTCACAGCTGAAGCTCATTGATATCAGAGGAACAGAGTGAACTCCATGCAGAGCACCAAAAAAGCATGCAATAAGCGCCCAGGCACATCACTGCTCATGTACAAAGCCATAAGGTGGCAACAGTTTCATAAATAGGTAAAGGGAGGACTAAACTTAGTAAGTTTGATTTTGTATTCAGAATGAATGTTCACTATGCAGAGTTTTTAGCATATTCTGCAAAATGTATGTGAAATCTTGGAGCAGAGCCGAGCCATGCCCTGACCTTCTCAAGAAAAACCTATGAGGTGGTAATGTTACATTGACTCCACTACAGTGGCACTGTAACGAGAGCTCTATTTTCAGTGCTTTCCCTGAGCTGCCCCCAGAAGTTTTTTCTCAGAACAGTTTATCAATGAGCTGTCCTTTTTCTCAGCGCAGGTTAACTGACAATGAAAATCATGCACTTTCGCAAAGGACTTTAAAGGTTGTAAGAGTACAGCCACTGCAGGATCAGGCCCATAATTCAAGGTTCAAAGGTCATATAAAGAAGATGAGAAAAACAGGATGAAAAAAATAAGTTAGTCTAGATGCAGTTATACTCCTGCCCTCATCACAGTAGCCAGCAACTGGCACTACAGGTTTGTTTCATCCCATGAGCCTGGGTACAGCAAACTCATGGAATAGCTCAGTGCCATTCAAAAGAATTCCTTTGTGTATGGAAAAACCCTACTAAGTGGTGTGCCAGGGCAATCCCTTCCTGTGTAAACACTGATGGTGCTCTTGAAGCAGCAAAGCAAAGCACTACTGGGGAGGAGGGAGGCACCTCTCAGTAAAACAACATCCAAAAGCCACTATTCTTCAGTGACCTAAAATGGAGAAATCACCAACAAAAAAGCAAGAGCCCCCATGCTCCCATGGCTGAACCACTGTCTTTAACAGGTCTGACAGCGAACTATGGTGAACAATGAATGGTTTCCCTTACTACCAGATCACCAGGCTGGCACTTAAGAGACGAAGTAGATGAAAGGTATTGGCACTGTTACTTCCTGCACATTTTCTGGCTCCAGGGAGAGAAGGCCAGTAAGGGTTAGTTGCTTAAATCATGGCCATTTTGAGGCTCTAACTTCCAACTGCTCTTTTGCTTTGCTGTGAAGTATTGATTGTTTTCTCAGTACACCAGAGAGATAAAATAGGTTTTCCTACTTGAATTTCACCATCTCTACTCCCAGAAGTACTTGCCATGCTTTGTCCAATGACTCATATGAACACAGCTGTATCAGCGATTGCTTTTCCCCAAAAACAACTACACTAGAAAAGATACTCAGTACACTCTCTGCAGGGATATCTTTTTGACTCTACCTGCGCAGACTTTATAATGGGAAGATCACCACACATGCAATTTGTACTCTACCTACACTGACAGATGAGGATTTCCACAAGAAACCACGTTGCCTTCTAAAACACTGTCTTATAGACACTTGATAAATAAAGCAAAATTTTCCTTCCTCTCAAGTTGATACGTTCTTCTTGGCATGCCAAATATATTTCAGTTCTCCAGAAATACCATTCTCATGATTCTATGTTCAGATCAAGGTACAATTTATGTCCTGATAGCCCAGAACAGCCATTCCACATGAAGGGCACCTCTGCATTGATCTATGTCCTATGACAGCAGGATGCAGTTAAGGGGTTTTTTTTGTTTGTTTGTTTTTTTTTGTTTTTTTTTTTTTTTTCTGGTTAAACTGTTAAGCATATGGATGTGACAGGAAATCCTAGTCAACCATTTTATCAGTGTTGTCCCTAGATCTTGGAAATCTGACAGAAATGAAATTGGTGCTTTTAAATATTTAAAAACCAAATTATTATAATTAGCTCTAAAATTATGTTTCTGGCCTAATTCAGGCCTGCTGTTCATTCAGTTTCACATTTTGGAATTGAATAAACAGATTCTGGAAACCAAAGTCCTTTTATTGCTGAATAGAAGAGCTTCTTCACTGAGTAACCGAGAGCAAAATAGAATGGAGAAGGCTAACGTCAGGAAGATTCAGTTTCCACACACTGTTTAAGAAACAGCAGTGTCAAAACAAGCATCCAGGTTCACACAAGTTTTGCCACTTTCTCAGTACTCTCAGAGCTGAGTCCTACAGCCTGTCAGAAAATTCACAAACCTATTGCAGACAGAGATAAAAATCAAAGCTGTCTCAGAGCAATTTCAAGAATAGCTGAATCCAAGAGCACTTGCATGGTAATAATAATAAACACAAAAACATTTAAAACAAAGAATTTAATAACTTCTCTATAACAAATAATTAATCAAAGAGGCCGAATCCCATGTCATCATCAGATTCTTCTGATTCCTCCTTCTTCTCTTCTTTCTTCTCCTCAGCTGAAAAAAAAAAAGACCAAGTGAATAGCTAGTATTAACATTGCACCACAGATTTTGAAGACACAACTTTTGGCGTTCTCAGCTCCCCTGCCTACTGGTATTGGAGCCTACAGGGTTCATCTCATTCCCTTTCAGCAACCAAGTAACACTGAACAGATACAGACACTACTGTTGCAGGAATGCACTTTACACCACCAAGTCTCTTGGATTCTCTGTTTTAAGCAAGACCAATCCTAAGACAGACAAAGAGCAAATGCTTCTGACTGTCCAAAGGAAAAGTAACTGTTCAGCTGACAATTCCATCACCGACTGAACTGCTGAAGTGGAGAAGCCCTGAACTGTTGACTCAGTTGTTAAGCTGTTACCAGTGACAAAAGGAGTTGCCCTGGAGCCACGCCTTTCCACCCACACTCACCGGCAGCAGGGGCAGCAGCTGCGGCAGGAGCAGCAGAGCCCCCTCCAGCAGAGACTGCCACGGCTCCCCCAGCCGGCATGCTGGCAAGTTTTCCATTGCCTGAATGGGACACAAGAGAAGGTATTTATTTACATGCTCACCCCAGGCACAGAACTTAGAGGAAATTGAAGAGTGCAGGAAAAAACAGATCCCGTCTCATGGACTGAACCTGTCACTATCTGCTGAAAGGAACAAGAGGCTGCATCAATGATAAATACAAACTGTTCTGTGAAAAACACTCAGGAATTTTAAGATTCAGAAAAGCTTAACCCACAAACACTGGCAGCATATTATTAGTAAGTTTTCTTCTGTTTGCAAAGTCCCTGTCTTTTTTCCAAAAGCTGTTATAAGAATAGCAGCAAGCACATCCAATTTCACACACCCACATTGTTCTCTGAATACAGCACAGCAGCCCAGGAAGTGATAATGTACCTCAAGAGTAACATAATGGCAACACTGGCTTCCCCTGCTCCTTTTTTTCCCCCTTTAAGGGTAAAGAGTACTCTGAGGGCATAACTGGATCACACTTAGAGGAGAGAAAGGGAAAGATTGATTTATTTATGGCAAAGAGTACAGTATTATAAACAAATTCCTCAGCACCCTATGAACCCTATTGCATCTCCTTTGAGATTTCTGATTTCTGCTTGTATTTGGAAAGCCAGCTAGTTCTCTGGCCTCTTGCCTTTCACATACCAAGGCTCCCTTGGCATTCAAAGGTCACGTACACACTATGTTTGTCTGTATTCCAGTTTCTGAGAATCAGTTTCTAAATAATTCCCTGTTACTTCAAGATCTAATTAAACTAGCAAAGTAAACAAACATGTTTCATATGCATGTATGTTCTAAGAGACAATTTATTTAAAGTATTACAGAAAGAGACAGCGTAAGTGTGTTGTAACCACAAGTATAATAGCTCTCTTAGGTCTTTCAAACCACATGGATAGAAATGTCCAGTGCCTACGCCTGACAGCAAGGCCAGGCAAAGTCCTGGCTACCTTTAAACAAAAATGCCTGCATATTCCCTTGTGCCTATAGACTTACAAAAAATAAAAATTCATTAATCAGAAAACCTTTGCACTACCCCAGCCCTGCTTTACTTCAGCCCTATGACCCAGTCAATTAATGTAAAAAGTTCCAGCCTCAGTAAGAACACAAATTTCTATGGAAATCGGCCCTCGGAGTTCTGTCTCAGGGAGAAGGAAATGCTGAACTCTGAGAGCTCTATAAGAGATGTGCACTGGAGAGGCTTGTGCTCATTGCAGAGGGTGGAGCTTCACCCCAATGCCAACTGCCTTTCCTCATGCTTTACATCACTGGTGCACACAACTGGGTAAAACACAAAACATCTCCCAGAGACCCCGAAGGACAGCTCAGTCTCTTATCAACATGTCCAGAAAACTCCATCATGAGCAGACTACCAGTAAGCTCATACATGCTTCAGTTCTCCAGTTTAATGTGGTCCACAAGCGAAACCCAGCAGGTACTGGCACTGACCTGCAGGGAATTAGAATGGACCTGATCCCACTCAATTCAGCTGTGATCCATGATGCTGAACAGAGAGTCTGTGACTTGGCAGCAGTTCCATACTCTCAGATCTAGGCTATCAAAGTAACAGGAAATTACCTGGGTCACTTGAAGACTCTACTTACCCTGGGCAATTACATCTTCAATATTTTTTCCATTCAGCTCACTAATAACCTGTAAGTTAAATTTAGAATGTTAGAGTTTCCAAACAGCATAAGAATAAGCTGCATATTTAGCCCCAAAATTCCTTACTTCTCAGTGCCAGGAATAGAGCACTGACATGAAAATTTCAGCTAAGTCCTTAATACTTTAAGCATTTTCATGAAATCTGTTACTGAATTCATAATTAATCCAGTGACCTTGAAAAAAAGGATACAGAGATGTGCAACCAATTAGGAAGCCCCACCAACAGTGTAAGTCGCTGAGGGACTGTTTACATTTCTTGCTTAATGGCCCCGGGGAGGCTCTGAAGCACTGGGTTCTGGACCCAAAACCACAAGGTCCCATTCCTAGCTGTACCAAATGTTAAAATCCAAGCTACTGTATCCTTGCCCTGGAACACAGAGTTCCAACTTTAATTTTAGGACCATTGTTGTATAACTAAGGATGACAAAAGCAAAACAAAAACCCCAAAACTGCTAAAGCAAGCACTTAAAAACACTGCTCCAGAACTTACTGGTGAGTTTCAGGTATCAGGAGTCAGTGGCCAAAGCTAAAGGACTTTAGCCAAGAGCTTTTTAACAGGTACCTTCTGCTTATACAGAGCATGGGATGTGTGAAATTATGTGCCTGCATGACTGCTCCATCCAGGAGAAAGGTGCTTCTAAGACTTCACTAGATTTACACAGGCTTAAGATACAGACAATCCAAAAATTAATTATGACCAAAACAAATTCCATAACAGCTTTCCCAATATTGGAGGATCAGAGAAAGCAATTAATTTATTAAGGTATTAAACCTAAAGGAACCAAAACCAAAAGACCTGGCACTTAAATAGGAGCATCATGAGTTCAGACCAACAATCCAAATCATTGTAAGGATGCTGTCAGCTCAACCAACCCACTGTCTCGCTGGGTTTATGGTAAAAATACTGGGAAAATAGTTTCTTTTATACCTTTACATCTCTGGAAACACTTCACATAGAAGTATGTGACAAGTGATAAGATTATTTTATTGGTTTGTTTTGGTTTTTTTTCCATCACCAATGATTTTTAGGGCCACAATGTTGAAGATCTATTATATCACAAGAAACATTCTAATGAAGATAATCTTTAGAAGTCTGTTTTTCAACACAACCACTTTCATAATAATTTCTAAAATCTCCCTACACATTATCCTCAAATACCTTTAATCTCCATGTTAGGATTAACCTATATTTCTTAGTGAGGAAACAAATGCTCCTTTGCAGCACAGCAAAGAATGTATTACTGAGCATCAGGCCTTCAAAAGTGTTAGCTCTGACTCGATACTGACCAAAAATAAGAAGTGAACCTTCAGTGCAGGCTATACACGATGTCAGAACATTTTCAGTGCATCCTTATATGCAGCCATCACCTCAGTGAAGATAATTAGACTGAACTACCAGAAGTCAGTAACAACTGACAGAGACCTTTGCAGAGGCATTGAATACATTCAGTATCTTTGCAGAGGCATTGAATAAGAAAGCCAGACTTTCAACAAAAGTTGTAAAAACTTATGATGGGCTCCGCAGAGATTAGAAATCACACTGCTAAGGGTCAGCAAATGTCTGAATAGCATAAGAGCAGACCAACAGGAGGCAACGGGAACACTGAAGCAAAGGAAACAGCTCCAGTGTGTGGTACTGGCTGGGACATCTGGAATTAAGAGGCAACGCCACCTTGTTCATGCGTTCATCGTCCGTCTCGATGCCGACGCTGTCGAGGATCTTTTTCAAGTCCTTGGACGTGGGGGACTCGTTGCCCCCGAGCACGGCGAGCAGATAAGCTGCGACGTAACGCATCCTGCGAGACAGGAGAGCAGAGTTCCGGCACGGCCGAGCTCCGTACGCTCGGAGGCGCTCATCCCTTCTCCCTCAGAGCCACAATCCTTTGGCTCCGCTTCCAGAGCACCCGCGCCCGCCAGGCCGCGCTCCGCACTGTGCCAGCACGGGGCCGGCACGCAGCGGCCCGCACACCTGTCCCGAAGAGATAACGAAGGGGCAGCGCGGCATTGTCCCTCCGGCGTCAGCTCAGCCCGGCCCGTCCCTCCACCCGTCCCGGCCGGGGCGCAGGCCGGGAGAGCACATGGCCGCCGTCCTCCCCTCCTACCCTCCCCCCCCCCCCCCGCCCCGAGTGATCCGGCCCGAGCCCCGCGCGGCGGCGGCGGCTGGCGCGGGGCGGGCCGGACGGCACCACTGCTGCGGAGGGGGGCGCGGCGCGCGCTCACCTGGGCGGCGGCGGCGGCGCGGGACGGCGGCCTGGGACGTGCGCGTGCGAGGCCAGGCGGCGGCGAAAGGAAAGGGCGGGGCCTCGGCAACGCCTTCTTCCCGCCACCCCTCAACAACGAGCGCTGCCATTGGGCCGCACCGGCGGGCAGCGCGCGGGCCAATGGGGAGCCGCGGGTGCGGCAGCCGCCAGCGCGGCCGGTGGCGCATGCGCAGAACTCGGGTTGCCCGCCCTGGGCGTGTTGCGCGGCCTTGTTGTGTGTGCTGGGATGGCTGTGGTTCCCCAAAATCACGGAGTCACAGAGTGAATGAGACTGGAAAACACCGCTGCAGTCATCCAGGCCAACCTCTGTCCGAATGCCACTCTGTCAGCTAGAACATGGCACTGAGTGCCACATTCAGTCTTTCCTCGGATACCTCCTGCACCACCAGCCCCGGGCAGCCTGTTCCAATGCCTGACCATTCTTTCTGTGGAGAAATTACTCCTGATGTTCAACCTAAACCTCCCCTGGCACAGCTTAATACTGTCCTCCAACTCTGGAATCCTGCCCTGCCCTGCCCTGGCAGGGTCAGCACAATACCCTCTGTTTGTCCCATCAGTTGGGTTCTGCCTCCACGTGCACGTCAGGCACATCCACACACAGTCTTCATATTTGCTTATTTTGTATCAGTGCAGAGATGGGCAGTGGGTGATGAATCCAGAAAGCCAGTGCCTGCCTCTGCATTTCTTCATAGAAAGGGTGGTCAGGCAGTGGAAAAAGCTCCCCAGGGAGGTGGTGGAGCCATTGTCCCAGAGGTGTTCTGGGAACAGCTGGACATACTAGTTAGCTTTGGTCTAGTTGTCACAGTGGTGTTTGGTCAGTGGTGGAACTTAATGATCTTGGAGTGGCCGGCAGGATTAGGGAAGTGATCATCCCTCTGTACTTGGCACAAGTGAGGCCACACCTCGAGCCCTGTGTGCTGTTCTGAGCCCCTCACTTCAATACAGACATTGAGGTGCTGGAATGTGTCTGGAGAAGGGCAATGGAGCTGGTGAAGGGTCTGGAGCACAAGTCTGGTGAGGAGCAGCTGAGGGAGCTGAGGGTGTTTAGCCTGGAAGAAGGAGGCTCAGGGGTGACCTTAGCACTCTGTACAACCACCTGAAAGGAGGTTGTAGAAAGGCAGGGGTTAGCCTCTTCTCCCAGGCAATTAGCAACAGGACAAGAGGATATAGCCTCAACTGTGTCAGGAAAGGTTCAGCTTATACATTTGGAAGAATTTCCTCACAGAAAGGGTGATTAGACATCGAAATGGACTGCCCAGGGCAATGGTGGAGTCACCTTCCCTAGAGGTGTTTAAGGAAAGACTGGATGTGGTACTCAGTGCCATGGTCTAGTTGTCATGGGTTGGACTGAATGACCTTGGAGGTCTTTTCCAATCTGAATGGCTTGGTGGTTCTGCGAAATACCTCAGCTCCATGTGTGGATCGGCTTCTTGCACACTGGGTGACAGAACCCGCTTGTGGGACAGCACACTGAGGCAGGGCTCTGTGCAGGAGGGACAGGGCTGCTGTCCTGTGCTGGGAGGCTGGGAGGTGGTAATCCATGGCAAGGTCTCACCATGGGATTATGGGCGTCACCACCTGTGCTTGTTCACTTGATTTCCTGCACTGAGGAAATGAATAGAAGTAAAAAGTTAACACTGTGCTGAAAGCCATTGGACCCAAACAAACCAGGAGTGCTGGTTCAGCAGCAGAGCTGTGTGTGGGCTGTGGCTGTCCCTGCCTTGCTGCCCTGGGGGTGCCCCAGAGATCCCCAGTGTTGGGGCTTCTGTGCTAGTTCAGGTGCTCTCAGAAAACAACCAGGCTCAGAGTGTTACAGCTGAGCCAGAGCCTGGAGCAGTAGTCAGTGGTTACTGGCTACTATGTGTAGGAAGAGGAATTTCCCTCAGCCATGCACAGCTTGCATCCAGAGTCCCAGAATGAATTTAGTTGGGAAGGTCTTCTGAGACCATCAAGTCCAACTTGTGACCAAACACCACCCTGTCAACTCGACCATGGCACTGAGTGCCACATCCAGTCTTTCCTTAAATGCTTCCAGAGACGGTGACTCCACCACTTCCCTGGGCATGTCGTTCTAATGCCTGAGCACCCTTTCTATGAAGAAATTCTTCCTGATGTCCAGCCTGAACCTGGACATCAGCTGGAGAGCATGTCCTCTCGTCCTGTCACTTGTTACTTGGGAGAAAAGGCAGAACCCCACCTGGCTACAAACCTCCTTTCAGGGCAGCCCCAGCTCTGCGCACTCTTAGGCTCGCAGCCCCTGCTCCATTTCTCTCCCTGGATTTGTATGGAACGAGCACAACCCCCGGAGCTGCCCGTGCCTCCCACTCCCTTGGAGCCTAGGGGAGCCAAACGGGACGGGCTGCGGCGCCGGGGCCGCGGCCGTGTCGGGAAATCTCCTTTCGTGCCCTTGCTGTGGCAGCAGGAAGCCTGGATACGGTTCCCCATAGCAGCCGGCCGATGTCCCGCTGCCTCCAGCGCCTCCCCCGCGCCGTCCCGCCCCGGATCGCGGCGCGGCTCCCAAGAACTTTTCAGGAAGTGGCGGGCAGAGCCCTGCCCAGCCCAGCCCCGGCTGCCGAGTGCCGGGGCCGGTGCGGAGGGGTGAGAGCGGCGGGGCCGTGCTCGGCCGGGCACGGGGCGCGGCTGCGGCTGCTGCCGGAGCCTGGGCATCGGCGTGGGGTGACGGGCCGGGGCACAGCGTGCTGCGGGCAGCCCGGCCCGGCTGTGCGTGTCCGTGTGCGGGTGTGAGTCCGTGTGCGGGTGTGAGTCCATGTGCGGGGTGTGTGTGCGTGTGCGGGGTGTGTGTGCGTGTGCGGGGTGTGTGTGTCCGTGTGCGGGTGTGAGTCCATGTGCGGGGTGTGTGTGCGTGTGCGGGGTGTGTGTGTCCATGTGCGGGCTGTGTGTGTCCATGTGCGGGTGTGTGTCCGTGTGTGGGGTGTGTGTGTCCATGTGCGGGTGTGTGTCCGTGTGCGGGGCTGTGTGTGTCCATGTGCGGGTGTGAGTCCATGTGCGTGGTGTGTGTGCGTGTGCGGGGTGTGTGTGCGTGTGCGGGGTGTGTGTGCGTGTGCGGGGTGTGTGTGTCCATGTGCGGGTGTGTGTGTCCGTGTGCGGGGTGTGTGTCCGTGTGCGGGGTGTATGTGTCCGTGTGCGGGGTGTGTGTCCGTGTGTGGTGTGTGTGTCCGTGTGCGGGGTGTGTGTCTGTGTGCGAGGTGTGTGTCCGTGTGCGGGGTGTGTGTCCATGTGCGGGGTGTGTGTGTCCATGTGCGGGGTGTGTGTGTCTGTATGAAGGGGTGTGTGTCCATGCACGGGCTGTGTGTGTCCATGTGCAGGGCTGTGTCCATGCACGGGCTGTGTGTCCATGTGCGGGGTGTGCGTCCGTACACGGGCTGTGTGTCCGTGTGCAGGGCTCTGTGTTCATGTGCAGGGCTGTGTGTCCATGTAAAGGTGTGTGTTTCAGAGTGTCTGCAGCACCATGTCTACCCATGTCTGTTGCCCCCGAGGCCGCCTCTGTGGCTTCTGGATTTGCCCTCTGGTTCCTTCACCACTGGCAGTTTTACAAAGCTATAGCTGATGGACTTTATTCTTACATGTGTCTGTAAGGGGGATATGTACATGTTGTGCACAATGTCTTTGTAAGAAATGCTCACCTTTATACTAAAGCTGTAGTTTCACTTTTATCCCATTGGCACTCACTTTCTCAAACCAGGTTCAACGAGGACCCAGTACAATTTGTGAGCTACCTCTGGGCTCTGCTTCCTCTTCTTCTTGCCTTTACATTTCTGTCCTTTCAGAGTGAGGCATTTCTGCTCCTTCAGGGCATGACGCCTCCCCCAGACTGCTTTGGGAACATCAGTGCTGCCATGTCCCACAGGCTAACAGTAAAAGTGCTGCTCCTCAGGGTGTTGCTGGGGCATTATCTTCTTTCTGCTGGCCTTGGGCTTTAAAGCCAAGTTTATTCTAATTCTGCATCACTCAAAAGAAGCTTCTATTTACCAGTTTGATCCATGGCAGGGTTAACAAAGAGCTCCTGATATTCACACCGTGAGCTAGTTTAATTGCCAAGCTCAGGAGGTGTTACTCCTGCACCACCAACATGCCTTTTCTAACCCTCTTGCTGCCCCTGTCACATTTTCTCTGCTGCCCTTTGTCCATTTGCTTTTATCCCATTGACACTGGGTTTCACAACCAGGTTCGATGAGGACCTGTCACAGTCTGTTAGTCACCTCTGGGCTCTGCTTCTGGCTCAGCTCTCCCTGCCCCAGTTTTCTTCTCTACTTGTAAAGCTTCCTAGTAAGGCATCTTGAAATCTGCATTAGGTGTAGGCATTTACATTTGTGTCTTTTAAAGTTAATATTGGTCTTTATTCTGATGGTTCATAATTGCTCCATTTCCTGCTGAGATGTTGGCTGGAAAAATTCAGAGGTTTTTCTCTAGGACGAGAAGCTTCTGTGACATCTGTCGTGCTGCATTTCTGTGCTCTTTGCCTCCAAAGCTTTCAGTTGCATGCATGTAATCTTTTCTACCATCTTGCTGTGATTATGAACTGTTTCCAGCCACTCTGGACTGGGGCAGGAGCCTTCATTGTGCACCTGTGTTCTTTTTCAGAGCCATCTTTGCTCCTCTCCTTGTCCCAGCTGCCTTGTGGTGCTGCCAGTGCCTGCCTGCCTGGCAAGTCAGAGCATGTCTAGACCCTGTGGATGAGATGCAGAAGATGGCAGAGCTGCTGGGGCTCAGGGATGAGTGTGAGGAGGGGACTGTGGGGGCTCCTGCCCTTGCTGGCTCCTGCCTTGCTGACAACAGACTGAACCTGGATGTTTATCTTGACGGCTGCCGCCGTTTCCTCCAGCTATTCAA